TCGCGTGACAGTCTCGCAGAGGTTGCGATGCCAATAGAGTTCAGGCCAGACAGCGCATTCTAGGCCGGGTGTCTCCAAGAAGCTCAGGGGCAACTTTCTCATTTTCTCCTGGACGTTAGTTCCATGCCTGCGCAAGAAGTCCGGGTGGAGGTCATAGAAGGTGTGGTAAGCGCTGTCCGTGCACGTCAGCAAGTGCCCAAGGGCTTTTGTGGCACGACGCCTGTCCTTCTTATCGGGTAAAGCTTGGATTTGGTTATCCACGCTGGTAGAGGCCCAGCTGAAGCGGATCATTGCCGTGTGGACGCGGTAGCCGTGGGGTGCCCTCTGAGTCTGGTAAACCCCTGCGTCTACGTCCAAAAACCGAAGAGCAGCAAGAACACGAGGCCGCAGCCTCTGCAAGGCGACAGGAATGTCCTCTGGCTGGGGCACGGATTCCTGGTGCTTGCCAGCTGCGCAGACCTTTGGGCTCATCAATGCTGGCGCCGTTCGTCGCAGATCTGATGGTTCTAAGCACCGCGCCTGCACTGAATGGCATTGTGTGCAAATGGACAATGATCCATGTTTGCACCGCCCCACCACTTGTGAAGCAAGCGTGTCAGTCGGTGTGGGCAAGCCATCCTCATTGATAGCCACGTCAGCGAGGGGCCACAAAGTTCTGCTACGTCTCGAATTTCGGAAGCCTCCCTCACAGCTGAGGCGTGCTTGTACCGGTTCTGGGGAAAGAAAACCTTCCGTCGGATTAGACGGCGGTCCTTGCGCACAGCTTCCACACGCCGAGCTTTTTTCCCGAGCGCATGCTGCGCCAAGCCGTAGAAGAAGCTGCGGCCAGTCGCTCTGGGGAGTGTTGCTGTCTGCGTTTTTGGGCATCTTGCCCGCGTATGTCTCAGCAGCACGGTCGCCTTTCCATGTACGAATGTCCAATGCCGCCTGCGCCAGGTCTTTGCGTGCGATCCAGAGCTTCTTGTCGACGGAAGAGTAGCTACCTTGAACGCAGCGTGACTGCACAAGGGGCAAGTGTCTCGCGAGGGCGGCAACCGCGCCGGGTTCCCAGGAGAAGTCGCAGAAAGTTTCACACCCTGCCGAGGTGGCCTGGGCACATCTCCGTGGGTCGAGTTGCTCGAGCACCTGGGCGCGCTTGTGCAGTCTGTTTTGAAATTGCTGCAATCTTGACAATGGCAGGACGGGGGAGATGGTCCCTGGTGCTGGCTGTTCTGTTATCTTGAGTAGCTGAAGTATCCTTCGAATGGGCCGCGCTCTTAGCACGCCATCAGGTGGCAGCGTCGCTGCAGCTATGCATCCCGTCTCTGTCCTGAGCAGTCCGGTCATGATTGACCCATTGCTGTTCCTTACCTCGCTATCCGCTATCATGAGTGTGCACTTCTGTCAGCAGTTGCATATGCATGTGGAGCGTCGCGGTACGCATTCGCATTGCTAAAGCCATGTCTAGTACACATGCCGACCCTGTCTGAGGCCCTGGGCCTGGGAGGCCTTGGGAGGCCTTTGGAGGCCTGGGAGGCCTGAGACTTTGACCCCTAAAACCGGTTTTTGCCACTACTTTCCTAGGCCACACCTGCAAGGCCTCAAAGTACTGGCAGAACCCCCAGGCCTGAGGCCAAGATGAGCCAAAAGACAGCAAAAAAAACGCCTGCGTCACCAGAGCAAAAATGGCTGAAGCTTTGGGGTTACACTATATATAGCTACGCTATAGGGGAGGTCCGGTCGGTCTGGCCGGCCCCCATAGAGAATTCCCGGAGGGGTGAGGCACGGCCTTCAGACAGCCTGTGCAGGCCAAGGAGGTGAGGCTTTACCCTCACCTCTCCGCGACCCGCTCTNNGCTCGGACTGTGAGCCCTCGGCCAGCGTTCGGGGTCTGTCGCTTGACGTCAGCGACCCCTCACTTAGTTTAGGGTTAAGGGTTTAGGGTTTGGGGTTTAGGGTTTAGGGTTCAGGGTTTAGGGTTCAGGGTTTGGGGTCGGTCTTTGGGGTTTAGGGTTTACATAGTGTAAAAGTTACATAAGGGTAAAATTAAGGTTACATGTAGTGTGAAAGGACCTGGTTGATGGCGCCTGTGGTGGATGCACATATCTGCATGGTGCTTGAATGGTGGACTGTGAATCCTTTTCTTTCAAGGGTTATGTGCAGACTGTCATGCAGCTTAACAGCAAGGGTCTAACTGTCCAACCTTTGAACATTCCAGATTTGCCAAGTAGCAGCTGTGGTATAGGCTTCGGAGGAGCCAAATCATGGTGGTTTAACTTCAAATGTTTAGGATTTATAGTCCTCCTTAAGTAGATAGACTATGGCTTTGGGTATATTATGATAAGATCCATATATACCTCATATTCTATCTACTTAAGGGGGACTATAGGGGTTTAGGACAAAGGGTTCCCAGCTCCATGCCTATGATTTCCCACAACATGGGCTACATCATTATGCCCCTACACCCTACATGAGCCATATATAGTCTAACTAAACTCCTTACAGGGAAATATCTAGGGGATTATCTAGGGGAGTATAATAGGGCTTATTAAGGAGGATACTAGGAGTTTTGACGTTGGCTCACATCATTGACCCTGTGACTTCAGATTAAGCGTTGGCTTACACGCTGAATTCCAAATGAGTAGTACTTTATTTGAGGGTATTATGATACCCAATATAGAGTAAGATTATATCCTCCTTTTGGGTATAGTATTTTATATAAGGAATATTATCTTACTATGTTCAACCACCAAAAAAAAAACATTACGCAAATCAGTCCATTACGTGTTTCGATTTCAGGCTCGAGGTCTTGGTGTCTAGGCTCTCTGGCCCTGCCTAGAACCGCGGATCCCAAATTCTATAGCGGTGTAGGGTTTAGGGTTTACCCAAACCCCAAAAGTTTGTAAAATGATGACCCTTGAAACCTTGAAACCATTAACACAGCCAAAAAGGCTTTAACTCTACATACTTTAGGGGTCCAGGTAGGGCTTGACATTCAGAACCTTGCTGTGCAAGCCTTCAACCGTTAAGCCCCAAGCCCGGAACTTTGCCGGAGGCCCTGTGCCCTAAATGTACTGGAAGCTGGTAGGGAATAAGGGAACATTAAATATGTCCCTATATGGGGCGGGGTTTCCCAAAATCGGGGGTACTTTTTTGGGGATCCCCATAATAAGGACTATAGTATTCTGAAGTCTAGGTTGGGATCCCCTTATTTTGGGAAACTACCATATATTCCCTTATGCCCTACTAACCCCCAGTAAGTAAGCCTCGAACCAGAAAAGCCAAAGCATAAGCTTCAAATCCAAAGGATCCCAAGTACCTATATGGTAGGGTGTGGGGTATATGTTGGGTACTGCTCCACCCAGTAACAGTCTATATGAATTATTAGGGGTCCTATTAAGGGCTATATATAACCATATTATAATAATTATCCCACTGTTACTGAGGGGGAGCAGTACCCAAGGTATAGGGTTTAAGGTTTTAGTGTAGTGATCAAACAAGGACCCTGAGTACCTATGTAAGGGATGCTGTCCGAAACCTTACTAGCATTGCTAGTGTAGAAACTCTACAATTATACTATAGAGGTACTTAAGATTCTTTGGGTTAGATAATTATCCTCCGCCTTACGCCCTTAGCCCTAAGCTCTAAACGCCCTTAACCCTAGGCCCTAGACCCTGAACCCCAAAACCCTAAACCCTCAACCCTCCATTCCACATAGCTACCTTGGGAAACAAGGTTGTTCAAGAGGGCCCACCTGCTGCTGCAGGGTTGCCGTAGACCCGGAAATTGCTTAGGGTTTAGGGTTAAGGGGGTTTTTAGGGTTTAGGGAGCAGTAGGGTTCGCAGGTTTGGGGTGTAAGGTTTTTGGGTTTTGGGGGTTTACGGAAATGGTTTTGGCGTTTGGGATAAAAGGGCCTTATCTGGGCAGTTACTTGGGGTTCCCGGGTCCCAACGTAAGTATATAGGTGTAAAGTACTACCTAGGGCCCAATCCTATATGACCTTTTTGGAGCCTACGTCTATACTATACTACATGGACCATTTAAGGGGAATACTGTCGATGACATGGGAGGCATTCCGGGTGTCACTGCTGAGAACTGTTATAGGCTAGGGTTTAGGTTTGAGGTTTAGGGTTTAGGGTCATAATTAGGGATCTCCACAATTTGGGAAGTGGTGATGCGCAAAACTCTGGAAGTGGTGATACGCGAGACTCTAAATCTTGAACCCGAAACTCCAAACCCTAAACCCTTAAACCTAAACTCTGAACTCTAAACCCTTGAACCCTAAACTCCCACCTCTATAAATTAAACCCGAACTCCGAACTCTAAACCCTAAGCCCTTGAACGGTAAACTCTAGACTCTGAATCCTCGACCCTAAAGCCAGGGCTTTTGGTAGACAGCATGATTTCGGGGGCTGGCTGTGTAGTGTGGCAGGGCATCAAGTCTGGCAAGATACCAGAGGTATCCCAAAGGGTCCAGACCGAATCAGGGTTGAGGGTTTAGAGGAATTCGGGTTTAAGATTCAGGGTTTAGGGTTCAGGGTTTAGGGTTGAGGGCTTAGGGCTTAGGGTGTAGGCTTTGGGGTTTAGGGTTTATGGGCTCAAAGTACCTATCCAGCAAACCATTTGGGCCCAAATCATCTGTTACTTGGGCACTTGCACCTTTGGTATGCAGCCCATGTATTGAGCCCTGAATCTTGAGGTTCGCCGCTGATGGTACGTCCATGGAAGCCTTATCCCCCAAATCCCAAAATCTCAGCACTTCAAGCCTAAATACACCCGTAGGTTCAGGGTTCATGTGGCAAGCATTCAACATGCAGCTCGTCGCGTTGACTGCTATGATCGATGCACCGTGTAGCGGCTATGGTTCATGTGTGCACATGGTAGTTTCCCACAATAAGGGGAGCCCGGAATCCCCCAGCCTCATTATAAGGACCCCCGAAAAGCACGCTCAATTTTGGGAAACCCTACACTCAAAGCCCGGTACATCCCAATTACCCCCACATAGCCTCTATAAACCCACTAAACTGGCCTTTGGTTAGCTAGGAATGAAAGAATGATCCCTCTATAGTACCTATATAACCCACTATAGTAGTTTCCATTGTCTTTTCCATTCCTTCATTCCCAGCTAACCAAAAGGGTAAACCCCTAAACCACTAAACCCTCAACCCCTAAACCCTACTTGGAGGGTCAGGCAGACTTAGTAAGTAGATTAATAGCCCCTATTAGCCATATAGTAGGCCCATTTATCCCCATTATTAAGCTACTTACTAAGTCCCACTGACACCTACACAGCTCCTAAGGGGGGCTATATACGGCATTATATGACACACTTTAGGTAGGGTTTAGGGTTTAAGGTCTGAACTCCTTAAGGGGCGGTTATATTGGTATTAAATAGGGTTCCTCTTATAGGTGTTATTAAGGGGGATACTACGAGTTTAGACGATGGCTTATATACACAAGTCTCAAAGATACATGAGAACCCCTTGTACTGCATACTATTATACAGAGATTCTTTGAAGGGATTGATTCCAGAACAAGCTAAGTCGCAATCCGCATGAGCCCAGAGCCTACGCAGGTTTTCCCTACGAGTCATCAACTCAAATCCTAATTGTTGTAAGGTTGAGCGACATGTCCTACGTGGCGCAGCATTTTGTGCGCTTGCCAGTAACTCAGCTTGTAGCCTCCTGGTACGTCTGGTTCAGTGTTCAGGGTCAAGAGTTTAATCCGGGTACAGCTTTTTCGGGTTTTGTGTAAAGGGCTTCTGGTATAGGGCGCCGGGCTGGATTGTTCAGACTAGAGTGTCTAGGGCACGGATTTCAGGGTATGAGGTTCAGGGCCTGGGGTTCTACCTAGGGTTTGTCCTTAGTACGGAAAATTGGATTGGAGGGTTTCCTACCACAGCCCCCTTCCCCGGGGCCCCTCATGCTACGCACTCCAGGTTCCCCTCTTAATTAATTCAGCTATTTTCAAAAAACTTGATTACTGTAAACCTAAACCCCTGATAAGCTCTGAAGCCTGAACCCTAAACCTTATAAACCCTAGACCTTAGACCCTATATCTTAAACCCTAAACTGAGTGAGCCCGGGGCCGTCGAGCAGGGCGCGCGCGCCGAAGCCGGCAGGCGAGGCAGTTCCGAGCCCGGGCAACGGAGCTCCCAGTCCCACGGGCAGCTGTGGGCTGCGCGGCGCCGTCCGAAGAAAACTATAACTAGAGGCCTCGAGCCAGACCCAAACCCAAACCTGGCACCCTTGTAGTCTGAAGAAGTTCACCTGGTTCAAGGTTCGAGGGCCGCAAGGCAGGCTCAAGCTGCTCAAGCTCAATAAGCACAAGAACTTTGGAGCCAGACCCAGCCCAAACCGTGCACCCGCCTGGTCTAGACAGGTGCCCGGG